TATTTCTCGTCATTTGGCCCCCTAGGCAGTGAGTCTTGAACATCACTGTGCACCTCACAAGACCCATGTCACTCTTACACACACCACTTGGAGAGAATTTGTCCTCCTTCATCCACATCAGTTTGACTCTAAATGACATTTTATGTATTGCAGCTGGTCTTTGCTTTCAACACCTGCCAATATAAAACTTTCAAGTAAGCAAGCTGAGAGTTTATAAAGTTTCTTACATTATTACTAATAAAACTTAACATTTATTGACTGAGGCTAACTAAGTTCCAGGCACTATTTTGAGTGTTTTATGTGTGTTACCTCATTCAATTCTCATAAGACTTCTATGAGGTAGGTGCTATATTGTGCTTGTTTTTACAGCTGAGTAAACTGAGGAACAGAGAGGTAAGTAGCTTGTCAGAAGGTCTGCCCATACTAAGGGAGGAAGGAATTTTTGAAGCAGACAGTCTGGCTCCAGGGGTTTCTAGCTCAGGGACTTGAAGGTAATGATTAAGAGCTGGTATTGGGTTTCAAGTACAATCACAAGAAATATCAAAGAGACTAAGTTCTTTCATTGTATCATAAAATGCTAGAGATTCACCAAAAATTTACTTGAGAAGTTTTAGGTTAAAAATCATGTACTAAATTACAAAAAAAAAAAAAAAAAAAAAATTACAAATTTCTTCTATTCACACAAACCTGAAGTAATATGCTACTTCTGTAGAAATGGGAAGCCAATGTTCCAAGTCTATCTGAATTCTGTAAACAATTTATTCACACAATACCACTGAGCACCATGCTTATTTAAGGTTTGCAATGTTATAGAGATATACTCTATAGATAAAATAGATGAACATAACAAACTTCATGTGGACAAAGTACTGTGGGAATGAAAGGGTAAAAACCCTTTACTTAGGAAAAAAGAACAACTTCCTCTTAGTATTCCAGAAGTGTCTTTCATGTAAGTTCTTATGAGCACATTCATTAATTCCATAGCAATTAAGAACCAAACCTGATTGGACCAACCCCTTCCAAGACAGAACTTTCCTTTCCTCACCTGGCTTCAAGCAAATCTGGATATTCTACACTTCTTCAAAGGCCTCGTTTCCTGCAATTCAGCCACCTGTCCTCTCAATGCCTCATTTTCTAGAATAATCAACATAGGAGGTCAAGTCACTCAAACTCTCCCAGAGTCAGGCTGTTTACCATTTTATGAATTATATCAACGTAATCCTGTCCAACGGCTAAAAAAGGAACACTGCAATTCAGTCTTTTCAGATGCTTGGTTTATGACAATTCAAATTTACTGGATTTGAGTTAACAATGGTCAACATTATTCTCAGTTTCAGAGCTGGTTTTACACAAAGGATGGAGAAGAATAAAGACATTTTTTAATGCTCAACTCTAAAATGATCAGAAAAATATGTAGGGGGAAAATGTCTTCATTTCATGTTAAGATCAGTAACAATAAAACCTCTTTACTTTTGAAGAACAAAGAAAGAATAACATGGCACAAAACAAACTCTTTGAAGACAGGCTTTATGATAGTGCAGGTAAATTGGTAACTATTTTTGAAAGCTGTTTGGCAGTATTGACCAGAGCGGATCATTTTGTGTGATCTTGTGAACCAATAAATTCATGATATGTTATATATATA